CGATGCAGCATTTAGGGGGACTACATGTGTTCTATGTCTACTCGAAATTTTGGCTATGCCACAGTAGCAAATTGACTCTTTGAGATATGTACATGATCAGAAAGAGAATTTCATAAGCTTTCAAATGCTACACATTACAAGTGTGGCGATGGTAACCTTCCAAGATGTACAGAAACCGCCACATCAATTTTTCAGCATTTACCCATATCACATTTTTACTCGGCTATTAGGTAAAACAGCCTCAGCGACTTATTCCTGATTATGATTTACCAGATATTCCCTTTCATCAAATAAATTGCATTCACATATTCCTTTATTAAAATAGACCTAAAACATAATGATGTAATGCAATGTTTACCGTGATGCATTGTGGGTGAAAGGTGGGGCAGACAGTTCGCACACTTGCTAGAGTATCATGTGCATGGATGATTGTCAAAAAGATCCTGAGATTGAGAAAGCCTATATTTTCAAAAAGGGCTCGTGTTGAATGTTGTGTGCCATTGTGTGATTCGAGCACACTATGAATACCAGAGCTGCATTTTTTTCAGCTTTCCACAAGACCACAAGTTTGCTTGGCTGACTGCCATCTTCTATCCCCACTTTTGAACATCATTACAACTCCTTCTGTGCCCTTCCTCTATGCATGAAGTGACTGCCTTATTCATAATTTGGTATTGTAGTTTAGTCAGTTTAATGGACCGGGACGGTCTGAACTTGAGAGGGGGGCTGTGCAACGAACTGATTCTTTGGCACTCCATTGTTCTGCTCGACTTGGCGCGCCATACGCCTTGTGGTGTGTGCTATTTTTAGAAACTCGTATATAACTGCAGAGCACGTGGAGACGCCGACGTCAGACGAGGCGGAGAGCTGGATGACTACGTTTGATACACTTCAGTTGGGGCAGGCTGAGGCCACATACATGTACGTGTGAGTGTCTAGCCCGTGTTTTAAATGGGTATGCCGATTATTGAAGTGCAGGTCTGTTCTGTTAACAGTTTAGTTCCTTCGTTACTCTCTATTGTGGTCGAGATTCGCATTTCTTACCAACAATTGCGATTTGACGGTTTAGTGTTGGAATGTCAGTCAAAGACTCTAAGTATAAGAATGTCTTTAGGATTCCCTGACTATTATTATTTCCTGAAGCGTGCCACATCTGTTAGTTTAAGCATGGAGAAATTTCTCCATGGTTTAAGTTGTGCTTGGAGATAATGTGATTACAGAGAATGTTTTGTTGACATTTTGTCCTCTTTGGAATCCCGTTCCCCTAGGAATCCAATCCCCGTAGGAGCCCCCTCCCCTTGAACCCCTATCCAACTCACTACTCCGTAAATCCTGAGGACTGACAACTGCCTCACTTGTCTAGAGGGTTGAGCTTTACAGAGGATCGATATCTGCCTTCAGGAAAACCAAGGAGGGTCGTCTTAGGAATTCCCTTCCCTTATGTCATTCCCTTCCCTTACGGATGCCAATCCCCTTAGGAATCCCCTTTCCAACTCATTACTCCTTAAATCCTGACAACTGCCTTACTGGTTTGGAGGGTCGAGCCCGAGGGAGGATCGATATCTGCCTGCAGGAGAACCCGCCAACGAGGGTCGTCTTAGGAATCCCCATTCCTTAAGGAACCTCCTTCCCTTGAGTAACCCACTTTTCCTTTCGGAACTCCTTTCACTAACCCCTGGTTAACCAAGTCTAATTAAAAGGGAATATAAGAGATTTACTCAGAAGAGTTAGTGTGCCATTGCCTGTTCTTTATGTAGTAGTTGTCAGTCCATGTCCGTCCTGGCCGTTGTCCGTCCGAAACAGTCTCCAAACGAATTACCTCTCTATAGACCTTTTCAGCCACGTGACTACATGTAAACAATACCACCACGTGCAGACCTTCTTGGCCACGGTGATCGTATATATTCCTACGGGCAGCTTCAACCACGTGCAAGCGCACGTGCGAACGCTGCATGCTTGACTAGTTTATCTTGAATATGTAGATTGCCATCACAACACCATGCATTCATTACCATCACAACACAGCCTGAATCATCAAAGCAACCGACTCTTTTCAGAGCCAACACACTTTCAAAAGAGATATATAATTCAGTCCTGTCTGATAAATGGTTATTAAATGAAATAAAAATAAATAACTGAAATAAATAAATTGAAGAAATGCCCCAAGAAAAGAAAAAGAAAAAATAAATTACCCCAGTAACAACTTGAAAAGTAAACAAAAATTAATAAATCCCCCAATAAATTACTGCAGTAAAAACTTGATAAGTAAAAAATAGAATAAATTAACCCCCAAAAATAAGTTGCCGCAATAAAAACTTGAGGAGTAATAAAGAAAAAAATCCTCCCAAAATAAATTGCCGCAGTAAAATTATAGTTTAATTATACTGCAGTTTTCCTATACTTTGCCCTCATTTGATAACCTTTTTTGTACAACTTGTATACAATCATCAGTCAGTGAGTCCGACTTCACTGATAAACCAATCCGCCCCCCCCCGTCGGTAATGTGTAGTTATTCATAATTGCTTACGAACGAGATGACCTTGCATAATACTGAATTTCCACCAATCAAAGTAGTCAGACTTGTAGACCTGTTCATTATAATGCAGGTTTGAACGACGTAAAAATAAGTCCAGGAATGTGATCGGCTGCTACCGCTGTTGGATGGCTGCAAACTGTTGGCATATTCATCAAGCCATGCAAGCCGGGTTCTCTGAACTGAACTCACAGTAATAAGTGGACACGAGGCCGAGGAGCACGGAGGGCGATCTCGGTACACTATGGTATGGTACACCATATAAACGTCGCCCCTTCCGTCGCCCGTCACGTTGTGCTGTCGTGCGTCGCGTCGTGCGTTGTGTCATGCATCGCGTCGCCAGAAGCACGACGTGACGCACGAGACGACGCGACGCATCGTGTGCTGTCGCCCTTAGCTTCATGGTATTTATAGAAGGCACCTTTACTGTTTTCTTTCATTTCCGTCCACCTTTCTTGCATAGTACATGCAATTCTCTCTTTGATGCTGATTTTTAATTGTTTTTATCTCACCGATTCATTAATTGGGATTAATTTCTGTCATATTTCATTGAAAAAATGATAAAAGAGCAAAAGAAAATCCGAATATGTAGGAACTGCTTTCTCAAAATAAGTGGAAACCGCAAGCTCAGAATTCGTCACTCCTTAATTTCCCAGCAATGATTTCTTTTGTTTTCTCTCATTTCCGTCCAAAATACATCTCCTGAGCCGCAGGCGTTGATTTTTTTTGGGGGGGGGGAAATGTTTCCTCCATTCATTAAATTGAATTAATTTTTGCCATATTTTATCCAAAAAAATGAAAACGAGCAAAAAGAAAATCTGCGTATGTAGGTACTCTCACATAATAAGTGTAAACCCAAAATTCGTCGCTTTTTAATTTACCCGGGTCATCCTTGTTCGAATGTCCGTCCAATTTCTTGTTAAGACCGTCGTGAAGTTCCCATTTGTGGTAGATTTGTAACCTTATAAATATTTCTTTTTGGTCCATGCCAGCAGTTTCCAAGTGGTTCTCCAACTCCTCCAATTTGTCTACAATTGTATGACCGCAAGTGTGACCACGGACTTAGGTAGTTTCCACCCAACCTGCATTATATTATTACCCTCAGAGTATTCAGTCTTCAGTCTTCCTTTATAGTCTTCCTCGTTAACTTCATCAGCACCACGGCACGCTTTCACCGGCGTGTTTCTTAATAAAACACTGTAGATCCTACTACCATTGTGACGGTATCTTTTCTTCCTCTCTGTTTGGCCTCGCGCTTAATTTCTCATCCGATCTGCATGTTACATTTTTGCTAGCACGTTATAATGATTGATGTCTTGTATCTTGGAATGGATTTACAATAATTATTAGAAAAATCTTAATTAGATCAGGAAAAGCTATAACATTGTTGTGACTGACGTTAATGTTATACATTTCCTGAAGACAATGCTGATTAGTCGCGAAGCTCTTTCTGATTACATTTGATTTCACTCTTAATGAAAACACAAAGTTAGAAAGAATCCACGAAAAAGAACAACAGAATCAAGGCCTAGACTGTGCAAGCACAGGCCAGGGGAAAAAATGAAAGAAAACAGTAAAGGCGCCCTCTATAAACACCATGACGCAAAGGGCGACAGTACACGACGCGTCGCGTCGTGCGTCGTGTCGTGCGTCGTGTCGTGCTTCAGGCGACGCGATGCACGACAAGACGTACTACGACTACGCTAAGCACGACGCGACGGGTGACGGAAGGGGCGACGTTTAGGCAGAATGAATGTAACAAGGAAAAGGACCTCAGGCAGCACGATGCGACGGCACGACGCGACGCGTCGTGTGTGTACAAACGAAATGGCAAGAAGGTGACGGTTCGACCCGACGGCACGACGCCAGGGAGCCGTCGTGCCGTCGCGTCGACTGGTTGTGTCACCAGTGGAGGGAGGTAAGAGAGAGGGAAAAATGTTTGTCGTAAATAGTACACCATAGGTTTGGAACTGGTAAATGGCAGAATTGGGACACAACAAAAAGCAAAAGGCGACGGACGACGGGCGACGGCAGATATGGAATTATATAGCATCCGGAGCATAAACGTAGACGTCACCGGAGATTTCCACTTGAGTCAAGTCTACAATCCAGGTGGTCGCCTGAATCAGTGTCTAAAGATGAGAGTCGGGAAAATGGTACATATTGAGCACCATATGCTTGTGGGGCGTGTACTTTCTTGTGTACGACGAGCGTGACGTGTTGCACCAGGTTTAGTACACTATTGTTACAGAAAACAGTACTTTTACAAGTTCATGCATGTCGTAGCCGGCCCCCATGTACTGTCGGTCGTATACCGTCATAGCAAGGAGCTTCGTAATAACGGCTGGCGAACGAACTCGAATCCGTCTGCGGTAGGCCAAATCTGGGAAATGCTTAATTTCCCTGTCCTGAAGAGTAAAATTTGGGTTGGTCATATTACTAGGCCTAAAAATTGTTTTGATTGTAGCATATAACTGACAAGTGACATTATCATGATTGTTAGTGACAGGCCTAACAATTGTTACATTGTCATTTTAAATTTAATGTCAGTAGGCCTATTTAACATACAAAAAAATTGGTTGCCAGCAAGGCCAGTGTGAGGCAAATAAGGCTGAGTCTTGGATCGGGTTTTGAGACCGGACTTAAGCGTGCCAAGCCCTAGGCCTAGAGTAGCAAATAGTCTTCATGGTCAGCTGGTGGCTGAGCGCAGACAACTGGACCGTTGACACAATACAATTAACCGATTGGACATGTTGGGCAATGTAGATGATAGGCCTAGGCCTAAGTCTTATCGTAAATACTGCATGAGTGATTTTGCACAATGGTAGAAAGGTATTATGGGAAGGAAAAAGGAGCACATATTGCCCCTTGGTTCCTTTCCACAATGCCTTTCTACCATTGTGCAAAATCACCAAGGCCTGTGCAGTATTTTTTCTATTTATGATAAGGCTTATGGAGTCTTTGACAATTTGACTGGCGTTGTTGGATCAGATGGAAAGACCAGTCAGACAAGTTGACTTTGGTGTTTGAGAATGGATTAGGTACTCCAAGAACAAATGTGAGCAACACTCCTTCATATCCTAGTGATTTAGATAACAGGTCCTGATTTTATTGGTTTGTAACTCTATGGTGGGATTTTGAATGTGTCCATTTATTTTGCCTAAAACTGCACTTTGTCAATCAAATTTACCCCCAGAAACCACTTAAACTAAATATGGGCTTTAATATCTCTTAAACGTGCATTATTGATGGGTTTTAGATGGTGTAACCGTGGTAACAGCCTGAACAGAGTAATTGCAGAATACCGTGTCACTGGTTACATGCAATTACTGGTTACATGGGTACCGAGGTGAACATCCCTTGAGAAGAGTAACATTTACAGTTTGACCTGTACTTGGCTATGAGGTTGATCATGCAGGGTGGTGGGGTATTGTGCAATTCAGCTCCGTTTAACCAGCTATTTTTTTGTGAAGTCTAGACTTTTTACTTGCAATCCTGCCTCACTTCACCAACAATCTACACGTTGTGTATCTGAGCTGCATACTGTGGCGCATGTCCGTTAACACCATAAGAGCTAGATATAAAACCTAGAGCGCTAACTTCTCATTCTCTGCGCGTAGAGAATTTGACGCCTAGGTAAAGCATTCCATGCATGAGCTTCTCGAAATTTTGAAGTTTTCCTACTGAATTCAGTTCTTGCTCGCGGAAGGTCAGTATTACCCATGGCACAATTTCTAGTTTTGTAAGAATGAAATTCACAAACCTGAGTAAAAATATCACACAAATAATCAAGGATAACCCCCACTATACACTTAAACACCATATATTTCATGTGAAAATCTCATCTGTCTGACAAAGTGACCCAGCTCAGTGAATTCAGTACGATTGATGATGATGTCATGGTAGAGGCATAAAGAGCAATCCTCCCAATTCTATTCAAAAGCACTTCTGAATATTGTAAATTTGACTTGCAGGTGTTACTCCAAGCTAAAGCACAGTAATCAAACTGGAGAAAAATGAATGTGTTTGCTATGAAATTGAGCGAGTCAAAAGGAGCCTGTTGAGAATGCCAATACGCTTGTTAACTTCAGAGATAATATGATCAATGTGATTGGTCCATTTTAAATTACAATCAATGTACTGTATACTGTCAGATACCTTACTTGTGAAACCTGCTCAAGACGAACATTATTGACATATTATGTTGTCCATTTCTGGGCTTAGCCAACCAGTATACAATTGGTTAACTTGCTGGCATTCTAAGTCTGTTATTACAGAGCCACTGAGAAGTACTTTTCACATCTCGATTGAGATACTGGTCAATGTCAATAATTTTCCCAGCATAAAAAAGGGCAGTGTCATCAGTGTATAGAACACATTTCAAATAATTAATGACTGATGATTAACCCTAACAGTCCTCAGTTCTCCAACAGGTGAAGGATTGAGGCTGTTAGGGTTCATGAAAATCGTAAAATGTAAAGGCCCAAAATTGTCCCTTATGGTACTCCAAAATGAACTGGCTCCGAAATTTCAGATAAAATACCACCAGCTGTTGTACAATACTTTCTGTCTGATAAGTAAGATCAGAACCAATCAAGCTCCAGACCACGTATGTAATATTTCTCTAATTTCTGCAATAAAATAGTGTGATTAACAGTGTCAAAAGCTTTGTGTAAATCAAGAAAAACTGCTCCAAAGAATTGTCCGGCATCTACTTGTTCATGTAAAAAGTCAGAAACGTCAATTAAGGTTGTGCATATAAAAAGTCAGAAATGTCAATTTAAGGCTGTGTGTGTCACAAAGATTTGTGAATACAGGGCTGCTTGGTTTGAACTTTTTCCTGAACTAGATTTTTTTCCGACCATCTCCATTCATTTTGTGTTTCTTTGGTCTCATAAAGAGTGTTTTTTACATCACAGCTGCATAGCCATCTACCGGGTACTCGATTTGGACTTCTTCCCGAAGTCACTCCCATCCAATGTGACATCGTAGCCAGTGATTCTAGGGGGTGGCTCTGTATTCTATATTTACTCTGAATAATGTATTCTACATGCAAACGGTAAATGCAACGCTCAAGCACAACATACGTAAATCTCTTGAATAAGATGCACACGTACAGAGCAATGGCACATGTTTGCGTATCAGATTTGTTTACGTATCATTTTAGAGTACAGACACAGATATGCAAATAGCCGTACAAAAGCTGTGCAAAATTGCATAAACATAGATGTGCCCTGCAGGCATCACTTTGTACGTGAGTCACGTGAGTCAGCGTTCTACTTCTTTATATAGATCTATGGTTGACATGGAAGACTGGTTTCTGTCCCTTGCCAGTCCTTCGAATGTATGATAGGGATGGTGACCAGTCCAATGACATGCGATGCATTCACATCGTTGGCAACCTCGACTCTTTGGGCTGTGTGCGCGCGTTCCTTCACTGGGAACCAACATGGCATGGCGTGATCATGTTAAAGAGGTTGTGTTATTGGAGTGGTCGCCAGTCTTGCATATTATTCAGAGGACTAGGACGGGAACAAGTCTTTTGTGTCAATGGACATGTACCACAGTATGCAGCTCAGATGTTTGGATCATTGATGAAGAGTACGCTTGGGTGGCTCCACTGTTTACGAAACCGGTTCCGGTTCTGCATAAATACCTGGTTCCGAGTCATACCCAGTTCCGGATAATTCAAAGAAAAACCTAACAAAGTTAAGGTCAAGGTTTTTTTATGTCTGCCAACATTGTGTCCTTGTAAAATCATTGAATTTGGCAATAAAATGTGTTTGTGTGTGTCTAATTGCATGAACTTCTTGAAACTTATCTGACTCATGGAGGAAAAAGAGCTCATGTCTGACTTTAGAATTTAAAATTTGCGCCTGCTCTCGGTCATCGGTCTTGAACTGCTAAGGCAGAGCCGTGAAGTACATGTACACTATTTACACGTTCAGTACATGTACTGTGCACGTGCGTTCTGTACATTGTACACCGTACACCTACATGTATCATGTACAGATCGATAGTGGTCTTGCCTGCTGGCGCCATTATGCAGCCAGTGCAGCCACATAGCCCTCAACCGCAGAGGCAGATAAACAATGCTTGTCTGTCAAATCTCTTCAGAGGACGTCCTTCGGAGGTTTCCTTGCTTAAATTTGGTACCGGAACCGAGCCTTTAGTGAGGCTTTGGTTTCAACTCTCTACTGCGGGTACCCACTGGGAATCAGTAACCACTCGGAACCGACTCCTCTATGGGTACCCGGTTCTGAAAAATATTGATACATGGTGCTGGTTCCTGATGTTGGAACTGGGTACCTGCCGGAACTGCCCAAGCTTAATGAAGAGAGGCAGAATCATAAGTATGATGCCTGGATTTTGTCAAAAACCTTTATCAAAGCTTTGGTTGACAAAGTGCAGTTTTAGGAGAAATGAACAGCACATTCAAAATCTCATAGCGTTACATACCAATAAAAAGACCAGCTAGTAACATGGAATGTACATGTAGCTCACAGTTCTGAGAGTATGAATAGATTAACCCCAGTCTGGGGCCAGTCTACTGGACTACCGTGGTATCTTCAGCCCTACATACCAATCACTCAAAACCACCAGAAACCTCTTACTTTGCAAAAAAAAAGCCCCATTGCGAATGAGCCCCGTATTTTTCATAGGCCTCACTCTCCCAAGCTGATCATTTATTCACCATCTGTGACCCGCTCTGCAAAAACGGGTATTAAGTCGCGCAATGCCAAAACATTACCTGTTCTGTTTGAAGAGGTCAAAGGTTCTTCAAAAACGTGATTTTGTATTTTTTCCTTTAACAGCTTCTGTAATGTTTAAACATGTGTTTTTAGACTTTGTGTCTAGAAACGTGGATACTAATGAATAAAGCTGAAAAATTGAACATTGATTAAGAAATCCTATATACCGATGGCATTATCTTTCCAAGGGCTACACTTTATGAGCTTTATCTCAAAAAGTGCTTTTATTGAATCTGAAAATGTGGATATACAAATGTCTATAAATAGCCAGAACGCAGCACACTACAGGGGTTATTCATATATCAAATTGTAGCTTTTGATGTACAGAATCAAGTCATGTCAAAAACTCATAACCAGAATCTGGTGACTTATTACCCATTTTTCCAGAGCTGGTCACATTTTGGCAATTCCAGACTGTTTCAGTTCCAGTTTGCAAATTGCATTTAATGGTAATATAAGTACTGGCTTTGCCCTTACACTGACATGTATTACAGGACTGGACAATCAAGGCACAATGACTTATTAAGTGCAGTGAATGTATTTCACACAATAGTAGTCAGTTGTACATGTGTACAGGTCAGCATTCAACTGCGCCTTTGCGCTGCCATCATTATCAGGATTAGCGATAAGGAGCAAATTGGCTTAGGGGTGAATGGCAGTGTCAGGAGACCAAA